AATGAATGCGGTCTCTTGTGGTCTACCCCCCATGGTAACACCAAAATGCTGTCATTAACCTCCATTGCCCAGTAGCTGTTGCATAATACATTATACATATAAAGATTTTTTCTTTCTCGTTGTTCCTTCACATGGGGGATGGTGGAGTCTGAGCTTTTACCTTCAGTGCAATGGCTGTCTTTGCCAGACTTACAGTAGCTTAAGGTACAGGATAATAACTGTCTGTACCAGACTTATAGTAGCTTAAGGTACAGGATAATGGCTGTTCGTACCAGACTTACAGTAGCTTAAGGTACAGGATAATGGCTGTCCATACCAAACTTATAGTATCTTAAGGTACAGGATAATAGTTGCCTATACTGCAATGAGAGTAGCTTAAGATATAGGTTAATGGCTTTTCATTCTGAATTGATTGTAGCTTAAGGTACAGACTAATGCTTGTCAGTACAAGACTCATAGCAGCTTAAGGTAAAGGATAATGACAGACTTTTAAGGTACTGGGTACTGGCCCTGTCTTCTTCTGTGATCTGTTCAGAGGGCACTGTGTACATCGCAACTGGCCTTGGCATTCATTAGTTCTGATAAATGACTGCCATTCCACCTTAAATACATTAGTGCACAGCAGATGGAAGATCAGATATATATTTATACTCATGATAAATTTGTTAAGATTTATTGTAATTACACAGCCATGGGCGGCATCTTTATATCTCCGAAGTAAGCCTGATTTTGAAGCTGGATGTTGAAGGTTGGCGAGAGAGGCCCATAGTTTTTTTTTTTCACATCCCGAACAATGCAGACGATGCCTTATTTTATAGTTAATATCGCCGTGCATGTGTTACGTCAGCCATTCATGAAGAATTGCCCACCTCTCTGTTAAGACCTTAGAAGACCAGTGATTTATGACCGCAAACAACTAAGAAGCAGTGTTGGTACACAGAAGTGGTACCAGAAAACGCGGCCAGCCTGAAACCCAAGGAATCTTAGACGGGGTATGTTTAGTCGGGGACAAATTTCACAGAAGCCATTTTCTATTTTAAACTGGTGGTGTCAGTGTAGGTTTTCTTCCCAGAATGGTTTCGGTCACTTGGCAGGGGTCCAGCTGGGCTCTACTCGACTCCCTTGGAGTCTGGGAGCATTTAAACGCCCAGCATGTCCCTGCTGTGTTAGCGGGACCTGTAATGTAATCGAGCCTGAGATGTGGCGTCTTGAAATGACAGCTGGTTGTGCAGGTACCCCCAGGATAATGAGGTCAACCTGGAGCACAAGGAAGGGGACACCCTGAGAGGGAATCTGATCCATCACCAGAAACATACCCATACATAATCACATAATAAGTGGAACTTAGACACACCAGTTCACCTAAGTGTACATTTTAGTGATCATTGTTGACACACCACAGTACACAGTGCGCAACAACGAAATGCGTTCTCTGTATTTAACCCATATGTGACATCATGACATAGCAGGGGGCAGCTAATTCAGCGCCCGGGGAGCAGTGCTTGGGGGCGGTACCTTGCTCAGGGTACCTCAGTGGTGCCTTGCTGGTCGGGGATTCGAACCTGCAATCTTTTCACAACTCTTGAGTTGTGAGGCCTCAGTGTTACCAGAGCCGTTGCTACATATTTCTCATTATGTGTTAATTTTATTGTACATTTAACTGTTTATAAACCTTTCTGAAGTGTCAAAACTAGATCTGCTTACTAGGTACCTCACATGCTATATAAACCTTTTGCAAAATTTATAGTCATACTTTTAACCCCTAAAGAAAGGAAAGACAAAATTAAATAAAAACGTGCAGTCTTCTCGTTTGCACTCGTGTCTCATGACAGAGCGTTCGCCGCGTCCTCTCCATCGGCTGGAGCTCCAGTAGACGCGTTCCTGCAGCTCTCAACGAAATGAGCGAACAAAAAAAAGACAGATCATTAACCTCCCACATCTTCAGTGGGCAGGGAGCACGAGCGCTTCAGGAAATTACAGCCGTGCTGGAAGCGCTCGATGGACACTGACATTCCCCACCCCGTTGTCTCTCACTCTTTGAATGGCTCAAACCCCCCTACCCCCATTAAGACATGCATTCTTGATGACTTCTTAATGAAATACTTTGGGACCCATCGGCGTTCTCGCCCCACCTGAACAGCGCTTCTAGAATGTTCCGGAGTTTCATTAACTGGGATTCAATTGGTAGAGCTGGGTTGGGGGCTGGTAGGGGTAACGCAGCTGCGTTGTGCCCCAGCTGTTGGTTACTATGGTAAAGAATATATTGCGGGTGCATCACAAACCATAATTACAGACCGCTTATTACCCAAGCGTTTACCTACAAACACATCATTGCCACGTGAATGAAGCTGAACCAGTCCTTGAATACAGAGGGTTTTTGTTCGGTTAGCAGGATATTGGTCATTCTTATAACCAAGTACACATAGTGCAAGCAGTGCACACTACAAAAGAATGAATGAATGAATAAATGCTGTGCAAGAAATAGCATAACAGAAAGGTGGGTGTGATATGTGCAGTTAAGACAGGAAAAGTCAGGCTGCAAAGCCAGCAGCTGTGAGGTTCTTGTCCTTGGCAGGAGACCACCCAGAAGACCATGGCATCACAAACCTTCTGCTGCAGTACTTCCCTGCCAAAGGCCCCCTGAGCTTTTCCCTAAAAGCGATGTCATCGTCTTCATATCTCGGTTTCTTGATGTCATTTGGAGTTTATCTCAAAAAAAAGAAGAGAAAAACGGAAGTGAGCCTACGGCATGTCATTCATTAATAAAGACGCTGGCACTGAAGTCGTATTTGGATTTATATGGTATAATTCACGAATAGTGTCTCACCGAGCGGCGTTATTGTGTTTCATTTAGACCGAAACCCTCCTTTGTCTTTCCGTGTCTCTCCGAGGGCGACGGCAGCACAGCACCAGCGCTCCACACCTGCAATAAAAAGGAGGCGTTCACACATGAGAGCATGAAAGGCTGATTTAATACGCAGCTGTCACACTGGGCCACACTGGGCCACTGCGGTGCTGACAGATTATGCTATGAAATACAACACAAAAACTCGGGAAAAGTACGTATTTAGAGAGAAAAAAGAAACAGAAAGAAAGGCATGATGGACATAAAGGAGATTAGAGGGAGCAGGGGGGCGCTGCTACACATTTTGGGCCCCCTGTCATTCAGGGGCCTTCGTAAAGTCCCCCCCCCCCATTATGGCACCCCTGAGACAAAGAGCTGGTATTAGTAACATTTTTAAATTGCGCTCTTTTATTATATTTTTAGGCCAGAATGGGAAATGTGTAGATGTTCTGTTTTATCTTGAACATCCTCATGTGTTTGATTTTGCCTTATTTCTGGTCTGTGGTAATATTTATTTTTTTGTGGAGTGTTTTTTTTTCTTCTTAAACCTATTGTTGCTGGAAAATGAACCGGAGCTGAGATGTAGACAGTCAGGCGACTAATGGTCTCCCCAAGTAAAATTAAAAAGGGTTCCGACTGCCGGAACTTTCCTCGGCGTTATACATTTTGCGAAGCCTCCCCGAGAGAAAGCAGCCCGTTCCGGTCTGAAAATTCACAAATTTTAGCACAGAGTGTGAGAGGCGCCGTTCCCATTTTGTGTTCGCCTGCTCTCTAGGCTTCGTGAAGAGGCCCCTGCGATGAGGTGGGCTGGCGTGACTCACCAGTTCCCGCCAGAGACGGACGGCCTGCATTCTGCCCGTCCTGACCTCGAGCGGCTGCGCTCTGCACTCGAGTCCCGCTCAGTGCCTGTGCCATTTTAAACCATCCATCCAGCCCTTAAAAACAGCCCGATGAGAGCGTCGGGTCTCTCTGTTACCCCTCCTCTTGAATTCCACGTCTCCCTGCTTCCAGCCAGCCGGATGTGTTCTCATTCTTCTGATATTATAATAAGGAGTTTGCTTATTCAAGTATGAGGTGACAGGTTCCACAAACATTTTCTTCCACATATTGGCCCAAAGCTCATCTGCTGTTATGCTCGTGCAGCTGAAACTGTCCCACTGGAACTGAGAGAGGAAACTGCCCCAACTTCTGAGGACCCCGGTGTTGACAACATTTCGTGGTAGCATTCATTAAGTATTTATATATGCATATAACTGGATCTGAAAGGTAAGGGATGAATATATTTCATTTTTAGGTTGGTGGCTTAGTAGGTAACGCTGGGCCTGGAGTTGTGCCGGTTTCTTCTTGCAGCTAACTGGAATGTCCGAATTGCCCGTAGTATGATTGTGTACAGTATGTGCCTGGTGGTGGGAACCCCAGTGCTGTGCCCAGTCCTGCCAGTGAGAGGCCCCACCTCACTGGCACCCTACCCTGGATAAATGGTTTGAAGATGGGTGCTTATCTTACCCTGCTTATCTTACCCTGTTTTTTTTTGCAGTGAAATTGACTAATTGGCATGGTAACAAGGATTATTTTTGGACCAAATGTTCCATTCCAGTTCTGATTCTGGTACTTCTCCTTAAGGGTGAGAATAAGTGTCCCATTGTGACCAGTGAAAGATACAAACTGTAAAAACTGTGTCAGAGTCTAAGTCGGGCAGCGTGACCAGGAGGGATCACAGTTACCTGTATTAAATCTCACTGCCTGTCCACTGTATGCTGTGTTTAGTGTGAATGAGTGTCTTCTGTTCATGTTTTAGTTTTACACCCAGTGTTAGTGTTGACAGATATATCAGGGAAACCAATGCGCTATATTATCTTTGTTTTCAGCCAACCGAACCTGCAACATTACCTTAGGTTCCTCATCTGCTTGCTAGTGTTGTGATTGTTTGCATCAATTATCTAGCTTTTCCCTGAAAATATTATATTTTACAATAAAGCTGGTTAACTGTCGCGTGATTCTGTTCGCCGTTCCAGCTTGAGGAACCCTCTCAAATGGAAAATAAGACATCTGCTGAGAAATGAATGGCAGTAACTTTGAAACGTCCTCCTATCATCTCTATTGCCCCCCCCCCCCAAGGTCTTACCTCATCTCCTGCTCTGCTCCTGCCATGCAGGTACCTTCGTCTCAGCCTTCACGGTGCTGTGCGGGGCGCGGACGGACCTGCCCGACCGGCACGTCTGCTGCGTTTTCTGGCTAAACGTCGCCGCCGCCTTCATCCAAATCCTCACAGCCATCGTCATGGTCGGGTGGATCATGAGCATATTCTGGGGCATGGACATGGTTATACTGGCGAGTATGTGTCACACTGTCACTACTCTCCACCACTCACACGCCAGCCTAGCACAAGTATTACACTTCCTACACTATCATTGTATTTTAATAATATTGTTATATGTAGCGTATAATGTATGTGTGAATGTTGTGTGTACCCTGAGAAGGCTTGGTGCCCCATCCTGGGTTATTCTCGGGCCTGGTCCATGTTTCCAGGATAGGTCTCCAGACCCATGCAACCCTACATAGGACTAGTGCTTATAGAAAATTGATGGATGAATTGTTATTGTACCTAAAGCATTGTGATCTGTATGGCCATGTGATTAAGAACTATATGTCAGTTACCAAATCTGATCCTCAAGTGAGTTGAATTATGAATCACTCATCAAAAGTGTAATAGCAGTTTCCGACATGCAGTGCTGCAGACCACTGTCCCGGGCTGCCTGACTGATATGACATTTCACATATTTATTTATAAACAGAAATTAGGTCGGTCATCTTTTTTTGCCCTTCACTTTGTGAATTCCAAAGGTCACCCAAAGGAAAATGAAGTTTTTTCTGTATAATTTGTCTGTTTTGGAATTGGAATTTGGAAATGTATTTTTGCTGTGACTGAAACAGTGATTCATTTTGTTATTTTTCTTAAAGATGGTGATGTTGTGAGAGGCATGCTGGTGGTTAGGGTTAGTGGTTAGCGCTGTCACTTCAAGCCCCTGGGACTCAAAGACTCTGCCAGGGATCCGTGTGTGAGGTTTGCATGCTCTCCCCCTGTCATACTGGGATTTCCTTTAGGTCCCCCAGTTTCCCTCCACAGTCCAAAAACACGCTGAGGTTGATTGGAGTTCCCAAATTGCCTATAGGTGTGCATGTGTGAGTGAATGGTGTGTGAGTGTGAGTGAATGGTGTGTGAGTGTGCCCTGTGATGGGTTGGTGCCCCCCCCCCCCCCCTTTGGCTGCTCTCTGCCTTGTGCCCGTAGCCTGTGGGATTGGCTCCAGACCCCCCACTACTCTGCACAGGACAAGCAGTTTTGGAAAATGAATGGATGGCAGTGTTCCCACCGTCAAAATGGCTCACATTACATCCTCTCATCTCTTGAGAATGTCTCTGCTGGTCCAATCCACAAATCATTTAGTTAAAATAAACACCCTGATGTAATGATTATTTCCATTGTTATATAAACACCATGATCTGTTTGCACAGTGAGGGGACTGGATGGTTTTATCTGTCACTTGTGCCACTTTTTCTATAAATAAGGTGCCGATTCAGGCAAATGAAAGTGACCATAAAGTGACATTATGTTCGTATTTTTTATTCTTCCTTTTCCGTAAAGAGCCACCAGAGCCCAAAAAGTCACATAAAGTGGTATTAAACAGGCAACATTTGCCGATCCTGCTTTTCCTAAATTTGAATTGCGCTCAGATTTGTAGTATGTGGTCTGACTAAATGACAAGAGACAGTCAACAAAGGAGAAACTATGGAAAAGGATTGACATTTATGACGCGTCCTCGCTTCTGTGCTGAAATATAATATTAGCCGCTATATTTATAAAGCAATATCTCAAAGTTCACACCTACCCTTGATGCATTTGGAAATTTAACAGCAATAGTATGACTGGGAAGAAGAGGAGTTTAAAGTAAGTGGGACCCAGTCTGCCAGCCATGTGAATGATGTATTCGGTCCAATGGTCACGTCTGCCAGCAGACTCAGTAGACAGACGGGGGCTGCTTGCATTGTCGGTTATTGTCATGTGCGAAATGTGAAAAGGAAATGGAATGTGCCAGCATAGTGGTTTCGTGAATTGTGTTTAGATTTATAGTATGTTGTCTGTCTGAATATCATCACCTAGACGATGAAGAGGAGCATTATATCTGTCCATTTTCTAGCCGCTTATCCTGGTCAAGGAAGCGATAGGACCCGGAGCTTATCCCAGGAAGCATAGGGGGCACGTTGGGGGGCACGGCTGGGGGGCACGTTGAGCAGGGCGCACACACAAACACCACAGGCCTCGTATGAAGCTGTGTAATAATGCGGCAACTCGTACTTTTTCATAGACAACATCTGCTACTGTCACGTCTATATAACTTCTGGCTTGTGATGCTGAGCACATGGGGGTTCACAGCATGGTGCAGGAGAACGTCCTGGATGGGACGCCGGTCCGTCTCAGGGTAACCACACACACAGACACGCGCACAGTGCTGCACAAGGCGTATGGATGCTAAGACCCGCGCCTGGTTCGGAGGGAGTTGTGTTTTTACACCAAGATGAGTTTATAGTATTTCTGCATCCCAAACAACTTTAATTGTTCCAATTTTCGCTTCAAGTCCCCATTTCCGATTACGTTACACAGCCAGCAGCCATTTTTGGAGATTAAAAACCTGCTGGGTTTTCTCGAGTAAAAAAGCTTTCACTCATTATGGAATGTATCTGTATATGTATTTGAGAACAAAAACAATTGGCATTACTTCACAGTGTGTGAACTTCAGTGTTTCACTACAGTTTCATGCTCATGGGATAAAGAGTGATTGGGTTTCAGTCAGCAGAATACGTGATCTCCTTTTGAGATCCGATTTCCTTATGTCATTAAGATGCACGAATATCAGTGTGCAATATATTAATATACATATAAAAATACATAAACACACATATATTAAGTATTAAAGTCATTTTATCCATTCATCCATTTCCTTTACCCGCTTGTCCTGTGTAGGGCTGCAGGATTGGGCACCAACCCATCGCAGGGCACACACACACACGCACCCACCATTCACTCACGCATTCACACCTATGTATAATTTGGCAGCTTGAATTCACCTCAGCGTGTTTTTGGACCGTGTGGGGAAAACCTGACGAGAGAACATGCAAACTCCACACATGAGCCGAGGCAGAGACTCATTCCCTGTGTGTGAGGCGACGGAACCAACCACTGCACCACCATGCTGCCTCGAAAGTCATATTAATGCTTTACTGTACTTTTTCACTCATCCTTTATAAGCATTTATGCTGCTGCATCTATACTGAAGCTTTTCGGGATGGAGTTTAGATGAGTGCTAACTATGTATCTCATGTTTTCTCCCTTTCGCCGGCTTGCCCGCATGGATGAAGTCTCAGAAGGTAGGCGTGCTGACTGCCCGGCCCGGTCCTGACTCACCCCGCAGTGTGCCCCCCCCCAGCCCTCTCTGGGCCTGACCTCGTACCACCCACCGCCTTGGATGCACGTCTCTGTTGTTATTTCTGACTTCTTCTTTAGTCCTCTTTACTTCTCGCCTTTTGCTCGCGTTTGTGTTTAACGCTGCTGCTGTGCGTGCAACGGATCAGAGTGAGACCACGCTCTTACATAAGACCCCGGAGCCGCCGTCTTCAGCCAAAAATAAGACCAACAGATGAGCGATAGTCTCATGCAACCCTGGAGGGTGTTCATATATGTGTAAGAGATTAAGTGGTTTTCATTTGCTCCGCGTTTCAAGGTCAAGCATTACGTTACAGAATGTCAAGAAAAGGAAACGCTTATAGATGTTTGTAATAATGCCGGCATTATGTCAGAGCTGTGGTATATTTCATGTTCATGTCCATACCACCGTGTGGGCTTGCTGTCCTGCTTCTCAAATGTCTACTGCAGTCACGCACTGCATGCTTTCACTGGAATGCAATGAGGTCAGCAGAGACTACTGGAGTTTAGAATTAGTGTTGATGTTCAGTTTGGGTCAGTGTCTCGCAACTGTGTATCTATAGTGTAAACATGGCTACTTTCATTATTATTATTATTAATAATAATATTAATAATAATAGTAGCATTGGTAGTGGTGGTGGTAGTTCAGATAGAAAGTGAGTTAGCTTTAACTTAGTTGGCTAAGCTTGCCTACGCATAAAATGTGGTTATGTCATTATATTTTGCATTAATGTATGACAAATTATCATTATCTAATGATTTGTTAGCTACAAATCAAACACCCTGTAGCAACAGTGGAAAAAGAAGAAAAGATTTGGCAAGACTGACTCCACATAGAGACCCGTTAGACAAGCCGGAGTCGACGGACAGTCGTGGTCAAAGATTTCCGACAGGGCGCCCGGCTGCCAGACACCTCACCCCATCTGTTTGTTCACAGGTTATAAGGATCAAGGGGTTCCCCAGCAGCTGTGAGATGTGCTGGCAAAGCCGTCGTAGGAATGTACAGAAGTGTCCCAGCACCTGCTGATGACAAGGGCAGCGAGATGCCTTCAACGCCAAGTGGAGGACGGCCATTTTTATTTCTGCAGGTGCCCCCCCCCCCCCCGCCCCCATGCTTCCTACTGTGTCACAGCTCAGAGACAGTGTGAAGAACACTTAAACTGAAGACTTTTATTCAGCCAAACTGTGTTAAAAAATTATATATATAAAAAATAAACACCTGCAGCTATATTCGCTATCTGCTGTTGACTGTCCACTCTGTTGGACAAGATTTTTGTTTAAGACGTTAAAATGTTTCTTTTTTTTTACTTTAAATGTGTAATTGTCGTGTGAGCACTTTTGGTCGCTCAGATAGTTTTGGTATTTTAATTAGCTGATTTTATTGCTGTAACATAGTACATGTTTATCATCATTCAATTTTTAATATTTCCCACCCAGCCTTTTGAATAGTGGAAAGTGAAATTATTTTATATATATAATCTGTATGGATGTCACTTTTATGCTCATTAGCATCTGTCTAGGACTATATTCATACCACTGGCATCGTAAAATAAGTCATTTATGTAACTTCAAATTTGCTAATTGTTAGTGGTTGTTTTTTGTGCGGCAGTGTCATCATAAACATCAATGTATTGTTTAGTGAATCATTCTAGGACGGTTGCCATAGATACTGTTCAGAATAACAAGATCTCAGTTTGTACTTGTGGGATTAAATAACTGTACTTGGTATAAGAGTGATTTTGGTTTTTATTAAAATCACAGTGGAAAATGAACTTGGCAAACAGAAAGACTATTTATAGCTGTAGTGAGCTGGTTTATCCGCCATGGAAGGCAAGTTTGACGTTGCTGCAGCAAGTGGCTGAAGTCAGTTCCCCTGGGAGGTGGCAGTGGGCTCTGGGTGTTTCCGGTGTAGATGAGGAACGGTCTGCCATCAGCCCACTGCCGGTTTTCCATCATAAGCATCCGCTGTTTGGGAGACTTTCCATGCCGTCATCCTTGCTACGATAACTCAGAATCTACAAAAGCACCACGATCTGGCCCTGTACCGCAGAGAGAGGAAGATCGTAGGTGAGGTCAGGGCGTCCCCATGCCTGTATGGTACAGTAGCTTCTACCTTATGGTCTTTGAGGGCCGTAGCGAAGTTCATGCTCTATCTTGCAGGCAGAACGGAGGACGCAGGAGTGCGGCAAATAATAAGGAGTTTATTACAGACACAGGTAACGGGGCCAACACAACTTCAATGACAGAACTGGGGATCACTAAACTAGGAAGCACTTAAATACCGGAGTGACGAGGAAACACACAGGAGGCAGCTGGGTGTGATCAACAGGAGGACAGACACGAGAGGTCAGGCTAATGAGCACCAGGCCAGGCAGGAGACAGGAGGGTCAAGCAGAGCAAGACATGACAATATCTCTCAGCTAGTAAGATATTTACACCTAAAATACCAGGGGAAGTGACCTGCTGCCCAAATAATAAATAACATTGCAATTTTTGTCTGTTTTATTTTACTATGTTGTCCTTTTCCAGGAATAACAATAAGGAATCCCGTGTCTTACTTTCCTACATTGACGTAGGGTGTCTGCCTCGTTGCCTCCTTGGTGTGCTGAATGGACCACGGCCTTTGCAAAGGAACAGAAAAAGATGCTATTCATGCAGTGGCTTTGGGATGGTCATGTGCGGGCGCTCTCCCTGCTAACCAGGGCACGGGGTCAGCCTAGTCGCTTTCCCGTAGGTCATGCTTCTTAGTAGTTGAGTAGGAGTTGTCCTAAGACCCCTTAATTCATTACACAATGCCATGTTCCAGCAAGATTCAGGCGGATTTTTACATGCAGTCGTCTACCTGCTAGGGCTTTCATTTCAGCTTAGCCCTTCTTAGAATTGATTACTTCTTTAATTGAATTAATTCACCCATCTCTGTCAGTGTGGCATTGTAGCGCAGTGGTTCGCACTGCTGTCTCACAGCAAGAAGGTCCTGGGTTTGGGCCCTTTCTGTGTGCCATTCATGTAGGTTTTCACTGGGGGCTCTTGTTTCCTCTCACAGCACAAAAGTATGCAGGATAGGTTAGTTGGTGACTCTAAGTTGGCCTTGTGAGTGTGTATGCCCTGTGGTGTGTTGGTGACAGCCCAGGGTTGGTTCCTGGGATAGGCTCTGGTGACCCCAGTTGGGATTGAGTGGTTATGGTGTTGGTTGTATCTCCATCAGTGTTTTGTATCTGTTTAAATGGAGACACTATGAGCCAATGGGATCTAGTTCTGCCTTTTGCCCAGTCCAATCCAGTTGAAGTCTTTATGTTGTTGTTTTCACCAGGGCCATCAGTAAATTATCTGTAAACCTTTGGGAAGCAAAACACTTATTGTGGGGTACATTGCTGGACTTGGGCGGTGGGGGGGTTGGGGGTTACTTGCTGGCAGACCAATTGGCATTTTCACCGTTTCCATTTTTTAGGATGTATACAGAATTTAAAATATATGGTTTATTTTTGGAAATTAACCAACCCCTCCACAAAACCCCTATCATTCTGTGGCCTGGTGGAATACTGCCCATGGACCTCGGACTGAGAACCAGGGGTTAGGAACCCTGAATTGAAAGGGTACTCCTATTCCAAAACAGCGAGAAAACATGATGAATTGCCCAAAAAGGTACCCCTCCAGTGGAAAAAAATCAGCGTAGTATAATGTAGTGACATATATGGTGCCCATACAATTGGGTCAACCTGAGGTGCCCTCTGTGCGCCTATCTGGTTGAAATAGCTCATGAAGTGTCCTTTGTGGTGCCCTTCCAAGTGAGCTAACGTGATGAAGTGCCCTTCCAAGTGAGCTAACGTGATGAAGTGCCCTTCCAAGTGAGCTAACGTGATGAAGTGCCCTTCCAATGGAGAGAAAAATATGGATGCCCTTGCAGTGAAGAAAATGAGATGTATATACATCTTATTCTACTGGTGCAATATAACTCCTAGAAAGAATGTAATTTGTCACACCACCCCCCCGCTTTTCTGATGTTCCCAAATGGACCACTTAGAATCCCTTCCAAATAGGGAGCAATCTGTATTGCTTGGCATTTTGACTAATGTTGTTAGCATGATGGTGTGTGACTGTAACTCTGACAGGTCCCAACATTAGGATAGCAATAACCATTTGTTAAGTCAGAGACCACGGGCTGAACCTTTAATATTACATCGCAGTGCTGCACTGAACTTCTCTGGGGACCTCAGAGCAGAAGCATTCCTGGAGGGCCGCTTCGATCTTGAGAGGGAGACCTGTTATATTTGTATCACCCCGGAAATAACAGTGAGGTGCTATTGCATCCCAAGCCACTAGGTAGCGATGTCACACTTTACAACCACAATGGCACAAAACTAATTCTAACACAAGGTGTAAAGGCTGCCAATTCAGCGGGTCAGGCGACAGGGTTAACATGAGTCCTCTGGCAGCATTTTGCCTCCTAGGTGGAAAAACAAGCCGCCCACCAATTCTAGGCTACTGTGGGCTGTTTACGAGTCTCGAAAAACAAGGACTGTTATGGTTCGCGGTAGCAGCACAGCAATCTTTGTTATGGATAGCTGGACACTGTTACAGTTAGAAGAAGAAAAAGCTTCCATCACAAGCAATTTACAGCTGAAAATCCCACAACAAATCAGCAAAGGCTGCATTTCCACTCTAATTTGGGCCCAATAATACTGTAGCACTGTGATCAAACACGTTAAACACCTTCCCATTTAGGCATCATGTTTTATTGATGCAATTTGAATGAAATGACCTTGTAAAAGGTGACAATAGGAATAACCCTTTTACGATTTACACTTGCAATCTTTGAGACTCGCTCCCTGCAGCATCGTTCTCTGTCGAGTGCCTCAGAACATGCCATAACGATTTTTCCGCCATAATGATTTTCCTCTGGGACCCTGCCCCCTACATTCCTCTGTCCGCTCTTTCCCATGCTCTGGGATGTCTTTGGAATGTGCCCCATGTGTGTCTTACTCCCGCAGCTTCTACCCTATGACCTCATAGATTAAACAATATATATCAACGTGGTACAGCTTGAAATTACAAAGCTTCAGGCCCAGTGGTTGTGTCTTTCCATCGGTGTCGGTGTCTTATTCCATTGTGAGGAAAGTTGTGCCTTGTAAATGTTCTGCAGTCTCGTAATGGGGGTTTGCAGTGGTGCAGAATGAACTTGCCAATAAGCAGGGGGGTTGATCATTGTTGTTAGAGGGGAATGCAGATGACTCCATATTAGCTTGGGCCCAAATGCAAGGCGGATGAAACAGATGCGTCCTGAATGGGGTCAACAGACACGCAGCTGTTTATATCAGTCCCCGTAGAAAACCCACCGAGGGCAAACCCACCAAACTGGACCCATGTCAATGCACTAAATATAGGGAACTGCCACAGACTAAACTTTCCCGGCCGACTTAAAGTCACATGACGTGTCAGCCAAGATGTGAATGAGAATTCGGAGAAGCCATGTGTACCCATCGCTTTTGTCCCGTCCAGCTGAGCTCTACTAAGAACCAGCTCGGCGGGTGAAAGGATTGCAAGGTGCCCTACGAGTGGGCGGTGTACTGTCCTTTGCCTGGCGTTGCCATAGCAATTTTTAAATGTGCCCCCCTGCCCGCCCCCCGTCTCTAAGGTGTGAGATGGCTGCTCGAGCCGTAAATGGTAATGGTGTGCCAGTTCCAGGTCAATGCAGAGGCAGGGGGTGGGTGAGTTTTCTGCACATGCTCCGCATTTCCAAACACTCCCCCCGCCATCCTGGCCGGCCACTACGGGCTTCTGGCCAAAGATTAGTTAAGCTACGCATTGCTAAAAAAGGAAGTCCTGTGTTCCGACGCGGGACGTCTGCCATCCTGCCCTGTGTGTGGAGGATGAGGCTGCTCCCCATCATAGCCACTTACAAAGCTTACAGCTACACACATTCTCATTTATACAGGAGGACTTTTTTAGTGAGGAGATTTCATGGTACAACAGCAGACCCTCTTCCTATATACAGTAAGCATATAAACAATAGGCTCTAAACAGGAGAATTATTAATACTCGATGTATTAATATTAAATAGCTTTGCATCTTTCATGCTTAGATTAAGTGAGTTTACCTCACTTGTGTTAATTAGAGCTTGATTACAGACAGGAATTACAGGTAGATCACCAAAGTCCAAATGGATGGGAAATGTAGTCCTTTTAACCTTTGAGGTAAGCTTTGGAAAATGGGTTGTGGTCATACTAAAACTTTTTAGTAGGAGGATAAGTGCCCTGCTTGTCCTTTTTCCCTTCTTCTCTACACTGTGTAGCTGCATTTACTGTATATTAAGTCACTCCTCTTCAGAAATAATCATCCACTTTTGGGTTAATGATATCTTTATCCCTAAGCTCAACCAACGGCAACGATAATTTGGCCACGTATTTTTAGAGCTAATTTCAAGTCTGGCATGGCAAAAAAGAACAATATATAAAAAAAAACAAGCTTCAAAAACAGCCCCTGCATGTTGATGCCAAACAAAGAAATAGAGATTAAAGGATGATGATGCATTATGGTTGCATTGAATATAGCTTGGTATTATAGTCTTACAGTTACATTTATATGGTAGGAAAGGAAAACATAGATGAGTCTTGTTTGATACTAGATTCTCTGTTGTTGGAAATGAGGATTAAGTAAAGCATGATAGCCTTTCTGGGTTTTGTGACGCCGCTGTTTGCTTTACAGCGGAAAATGAAGGCAATCACTCTTTGGCTGCATATGAACAGCGATGGAGGTCCCAGTGAATGATGCCCGTTCCCACACACTGCCTGTAACGACAAGCTAATCAAGGCAAGAAACAAAGGAAAAAGAAATCAGGCTTTTTTAGTTATCATACAAATTTACTACAACGATCAATCAATGTATAACCATGTGTAATACATAGCAGTATTGATAAAACATGTTACACGCATTAATGTGAGCGGAGAAAAAACATGACAATAACTAAACAAGATTCCCAGAATAAAATTTATGCTTAAACGAATGAAGGGAACTTTGTACATCTGGCCAAGCTGCTTGAAGTACCCACGTCATTCCTAAGCATTTCTTTGCCCGATTTCCTAAATAAATGCTCCCTTCTACATTACTCCGCCAACACTAACCTCTAGAATGTTAAAATGCAACACTTGCACTTCTAATAAGCAGTTAATTGTCTGGCAAATCTTTTCGCATTTACAGTCATCCGAGCGAGGCACGCCAGCTTGCAATTTACAGATTTATAGAGCGCATGCATCTATTTTAGTGTTCTTGTGCAAATACCAAGAAGTAATAAATATGGTTATGCGTTCAACGAAAAACCACACATTCTGGCGGCAACGTCCGCAGAGTATTTGCAGGCTGTAGGGCAATCCTGCATTTTTTCTGTGCTGCCACTAGAAGGCGACATGTCCATTTGATGAAAACATGAAGCCTGGCGTGAACCTTCGGATGATCTGTTAAAAGGATCTTACCGTGCGATCGAAAAGTGAAAGACAATAGTCTGTGCTGTTAAAATATTAATAATAATAATAATCCAATGTGACACATGGTTAACAGATGTTTCAATGCTAACAACGAAAAGAAACCACACATTTTTAAAAGTTTAATTACTTTTCCAGGAAAACATACATGTAGCAAGTCTTTATCTCCTACATAAACAGCACGTGGGCTGTTGGTACATATGTATAAATTTTACATGGAGGTAAAATTTTAGTGACTCTTTTTAAATAGATTGAGTGACCAGGCTATCTGCTGTCCCGTTTACAAAAAAATTCAAGCTGTTTCTTGATTAAGAAACAATATTTAAAATGTTTAATATTTAAATATATTTAAATATTTAAAAATGTTAAAGAAAAATTCACTGTCAGCAGCTGTAACGCTACTTTGACGTGTATGACTCTCCAGTCACTCTAGGATATAACACAATGTAAATTGTGGTAAAAATACGGCCTTTTACACGTGGAGATACTGGAATGTCTGCATGCTCAGTTACTGGCAATGTTGTTTCTTTTCAGGTGAAAACTCACATTTCTCTGCACTGGATATACAGTGTGCATGCTACAGTATAGTCACTAACTGCATATGTGCTCCTTTCCCTGCATCTCCCAGCAGGATCTTCTGCAGTTAGAGGTTATGTGAGGGTCCCTAGGCCTCACAGAGTCTGGCCTGTGCACGTGTCCAAAAGATCAGTGCCGGTCGAATCCAACATACGTCGGCTTCCCCACCTGGGCAAAATTCCCCACCCAATTTAACGTTGTTGTGGATGGTGCTCTACATGTAGCCACTGCTCGCAAAGATGACACCCCTGTCCAAGAAGGAGCCACAGAGGGCTGACTCAGTCACCTACCGGCACTGCACTAGTCGTCGGCAGCGTACATACCCACACGCTATCTCTCCTGACTGGGCCTCATCTGTACACACACCTCCTACCGGCCATCGGAAAGTGTTCAGTAGTGAAGGGAACTGTGCAATTTTTTAGGAACCCAGGGTCCTACTAGAGCCAAAACCTTTCTCAGTTCCCCACATAAACATCAAGAGTAGCTTGCTGCAAAAGTCAGCGATGGAAGCAGAACGCTTTGTGTATAATAATATATTGTTATGCAGCAGTTTCTCTGGGATGTTTTGCAATCCTAATCCTAATCATTACTTGCAGACTAATAAGGTTATATTGCGGCAGCAAATGTCTATTAAGCCTGGAACATTACGTTACGTGCTAGACCATCATCACTCCAGCCAGAAATGAATCCTCATGCTAAATGAGCTGTTGGTAATACCCAGCTGTGACCTGTTTAGACAGCAAGACTATGAAAACTGTCAAGCCTAGTCAATCGTCCTCTGCAGGCTGTGTGTGTGTGTTTAGCGCCGCCATCGAGATGGGTTTGCATGGCAAATGCTCATGTAAACAGTACCTGGGGGGGATTGGTGGACCGCAGGTACATCTGGCCGATTGGTTTGTGGGGCGGGGGGGGACGGGGGGGGGTGATGGTCGGCATGTCCTGGCATGGAAAAATACGGGCGGGGGATGTCCTGCTGGTGCCACTGTAGGGGATGGGAAACCGTGGCGACGGGGGCCAGCTGGGAACAGGATGCAAAGGAGGAAGTGGGAACCCCCCCATTGCCTGCTCCGGCCACAGGATTAGGGCTGGGGGGGCTGAGGACTTCCTGGGAACATCACCCGAGATGGGGAACTGACCTCAGACTCGTATGCTGCGGCGTCTATGTCACCCTGCTCACCTGCTTCCTGCAAAAGTCAGTAAACTCACCTGAATCCCACCCAGCCTGCCCACAGGGGGGCGCTACGCCTAACCCTACGTTCACTCCACTTCACTCTCGTACACTGTTGACATGTTTTGTTACTACGCGGTTCCTTCAAAAGTATGTTTAATGTTTTCTTCAAAGCTGTCAGCAGGCAATATATTTTCTTAGTCATCCCGTACAGGCTGAGAACTATATGATGAAACAAAGACATCTAGTTACCAATCCGGATGACAGCCAGAAAACCAAAAACAGAAATGAGATTTTAATGGTTAGTTAAAGTTTTAGGGTCACCCATAAGGTTTGCCGGCGTTGCTGAGAACATCTCTTTTCAACGAGGCAGACACTCCAGAAGAGAACATAAGTGAGAAAATGTCATGGAAAGTGCCATCAGTCTTTAGATAAAACAGCACTGTTTAAAATAGTACATCATTTTAAAAAGCTTACAAAATTCTAAGATTAAGATTAAGATAACTGTTTGTGGAGGGGCAGTATAGAACAGGACCACACTTGTGTCATTCTGCAGAGTCTACTGTGGATATGAATATATACAACATGGATACACAACCATCACATTTGTGGTCCACTCAGCTGCCAGCCCGCTCCGTCAAGAGGGGAGGGTGGAATCCATGAGCAGAGGTGCCATGCCTTCCTTTGTAGTGCGCGTGTTCCGGCCGCTGGTGCCCCCACTCCACACCCCCTAACCAGAGTCCTGCCCCACCATGTCAGCCAGAATGTCTACGAGGTGGTCCATTCCCCACAGGTAACCGTCCTCTCGGTTGCCCTCAACCCACATGGCCCGATGGTCCAACATTTGGCCCTCCGGCAAAGGTGTGGTCTTCCCAAAGTCTATCATCCACACCTTGGCTTGGTCCCGCTTGTCATGGACAAAGAGAAGAGAGCTGCCAATGACCTGGGGGGACAGGAGGAGAGGAAAAGAGGGGGATGGTCAGAATCTCCCCATTATACTGCGGGGGGGGGGGGGGGGGGGGGGGGGTGTGTAGTAAAAGCCAACAGTAGGAGCTACTGAATACCACAAACTCTCATTTTAGGGTTGCCTCAGACAGAAATAGTTCCTTCCATCCATTTTTAATCCCTTTATTTGCCTTATGCCGGTTTGTGTATGTTACGATGAATGACAGAATTCCTGCGCAAAATAAACCCAGCTGCCAATCGAAGAAGGACCATTTAATGCCGTAACACACTTCATGAAAGGTAAGTCAATAAACACCCCATTAACCAAACAACTGCTCCTTAAGCTAATAATGTGCCTTGTTATTTTGGTCAAGGTTATCAGCCTGATATTAAATACACATGTCAGTAAGTTAAATAAGTTATGCATATTTAAAGGACTCTTAAAATTACGCAAATTTCAGGAAGTAGGCTTCGGAAGTCACTCTACTAGTCACATTTAGCATACAAATACACCAAGAATCCAATTGTTTTATTTTAAAATAGCACCTCTAAGTTTTTAAAGTGTTGAAGTTTTTTTTTAATCATTTTGGCAAGAGCTAATCAAATTGCAGAGTCTAGGAGCTGTGGAATGGTCAGTGGGAATTTACACGTCACATCACAATGGTTTCCATTCAGAGCTCCGTGTCTTCTAATTGCTACCATGAAAAAGCAGGAAACAGAAGTGCACTGCATCATTATATTCTATTGTCAATGTATCCTCCAACAACTATTTTTAGCAGCCCTATTATTTTGTCATCCCTCCACCACACCACAATGGCAACTGTATCCTGTCTCAATCAAGAGTGTTTAATAAAACCCATAACATATCTTAATGCTTTCACTTTCAGTTGCATTTGATTCGTATTTATATAGCACTGGGCCGGAAACACTCCTATTTGGGCTTGTTGTTTCTCCTGGTTCTGGAGGATCTGCTATTAGGTATTCCTGATGAGAAATACACTTACAGCCCATGGGTGGGATATTTGTCAGAATTTGACTTATCCAGAGATTTGTTTAATAATTCGGTCAACCCTTCTTCTGGAAGTTCACCTTTGCCACATATATTTTTCTTGTCATATATTTTTAAAACTTAAAATAGCGGGGGAAGAAAAGAGGAAGACGTACCTCGTGCGTCTTGAAGAAGGTGGATATTTCCAGAGTGTCCCTTATTTCCTTCAGTCTCTTCAGGTAACATTTCTAGAGACAGAATAATAAAATAAGACAATGTAGACTGTAAGTAAGGGGTGTGCAGACAATGGCATTATTATAAGACAGGGTTTCCAAAGGGGGGGGTTGCGAGGGGTCACAGGAGGGGGCACGAGACACCGGTGGGGGGTTGTGAGATGATGTTTAAAAATAGATAAATCTACTGAGGGGAACCCTCCCCCTCCCCAACCCCCACCCCAATCAACAAAATCTACCGAGAGGGACTCGGTCAAGTCTGTGGCACTGTTTTTTTTTTGGGGTTCCAGGACTGAAAAGTTTGGGGACCCATGTTAGGGTATAAAATTGTAGTAAGACTAACACAACGAGCCAGAAAGCCAAACGATGCCTGTGACTTAGCTCAGAACAGTGAAACATTTTTGCACTGACAGTGAAAACACTGGTGAGTTTGCAGCATCTACAGTGATTAAGAATGACAGTGTTAGCTACCAGAAGAAGTCACCGTGTTTCTTCTTTTAACACTGGATGCTTAGGCTTGTGCAACAAATTATTTGTCAGAATTTGACTTATCCAGAGATTTGTTTAATAATTTGCTTAACCCTTCTTCTGGAAATTCACACAATGGCGGCAGGTTCTGACTGACTGGTTTTACTACGACGCCCAATGGCTACATGCTAAAGTAACAGAAGCACGGTAACAGAAGGCCAAACAGTCACACGTCTGTGCTACTAACACCTTCACGTCATGCTATAAAAAAAACCTTGGCCACTCACATTTTACTCTTAATGATTACTGCTTAATTACTGCTTGTATATGTTGAGTTTCTCTTTTGTTAAAAAAGAATACTGTTTTTAAAAGGGTTTTCAGGATAAGTTCTTGTGTAAAAAGTAATAGTTTAAATGTAATTGTTTTGCCACATGGATAAATCCATATTAATAGTTTCTTCCTGGGCCATAATAATTATTGCGAATACTATAATTGTACAGTGTAAATATTTCTTTTTTAGTAATGGACAGTTTCACTGTTTGGTGGTGTAGAGAACAGGAACTTCCTCTATTATTAGAGAGGGAAGTCCTTGGGTCCCCCCCCCCCCACCGCCCTGTCTTGGCACAAAATCAAGGGACTCCTGCGTCACTGCGTACGACTGGTACACTAACCAGGATGTTCTTGTTTCCCTTGACGAAGTCGTGAAAGGCCTCGATCACTTGGTCCCGACTCTTGGTCTTCTTGAAATCCCTGTTTACTGTTCCATCTTCCTTCTGCCATGAGTGGGTGGGAGAGAAGGCAGGGGGGGATTGGGGTTATTTTATTAAAGGTTATGCAGGGCAGGGAGTCGATTGTTAGCATGTTGCTTTCAAGGGGTATTATTTTTATTTTTTTGCAGTGAACATGCGGACTTGGTTTTGATCACGAGGGTCCTTTAGAGTCACAGATCCATTTCCAGCGGCTACTTTCGAGGACAAAGAGGCAGGCCGGGCCCTCATCTCTCTGTGCTGCCCGCCCACCTGCCCTGGCCACAGAAGCGGGGCCCACACGCGGCCCGCCGGCAGCTGCGACTCCTCCGAGACCCGACGGGGAGGCCTTTTGGGAAAACCGCCCAGGCAATAAGGGCAAAACATCTGATGTCATGGCAACAAGGCATGGGGACTCTGCGGCCATCTACGGGCAGGCTCGACCGAGGGAGTGGAAAGTCAGCCCAAAACGCAGACAGAGAATTTCACTAATGAAGATACGTGGGTAAAGAGAGCGGCCCTCCAAATTTGGGCAGGACAGTCATTATCCCAAGCTAAGAAGTACAAACAAACTGCAACTAACACTTAACTAATTTCCCAGGCTTAAAAAAAAAATTCAAATTGCGTAATTTTTCGCCTGAAATCTCCGCCCTGGCAAAATAACAAACTCTGTAATGACGCTGATTAAATGCGTGACAGTTTTCATGAGCGGATGTGGGTGTCGCCCGGTGTCACTTGCCGGTGTTACTTTCAATGGACCTGTCACGGGCAGGCCCCCTCAGACGACAAAAACACGCAACGGTGCTCATGTGGTCGGAGGCCTCCTCGGTTGCCCATGGCAACAGGTCAATTGCCCATGACAATTCTATTAGGGTGCTTCCGCAGAAACGCTCCTTTGCAAATATCGGGCGTGATTTCACTTTTACCGAGTACACGTCTGATTCAAATTCCGTTTTGGGCAGATTGGAGATAGTTAGATGATCACATAACTTACCAGTAATTTTGCTTTAATTACCAAGTGTTCGCTATTCAGAAGCTTCTTTCCATAGTGTAACAGATTTTACATTTTAAGCTTCTAATTCAAGCTTCCATCAAATTCAAGCTTCCATCTACACACACAGGTTGGTGTAACTGCTTATACCTTCTTGAAATCTGTACCTGAGCTCTTACAACAAGTACGTCTCTACAACTCTTGGATGATTTAAGAAGACGACATGGCCCCGTGTTGGCTGGTCAGATTATGAGGATGACCCCACAATGAAGCGGCATTAGGAGGCCTAACCGACCTTGATGCCCTCGATGCGGAAGCCCAGAGTGGCTGTGGAGCTGATTGTTTCCCTCCATTTCATGTAGCGGGGCTTGGTGACGGCCTGCTGGTCATGCTCCTCCGGCGTGGGCGCGTCCAGGTCCACCTCGATCATCTTCTTGTACATATCGTTCCGCAAGCTGGGCTTCTTCCTCGCCTTCGTCAGCTCCTCCTCCAGGTACGTCCTGTGGACCCCGCAGTGGCCCGTTAGCAAAGTGCTAAAGGCGTGGTGTCGACACCCGTCAACTACTGCAAACTAAATCTAGCATTTTCCTACATAGTCACGTTTAGGCCCCAAGTCGAAACTTTAATTGCATTTAGCTAGTACTGGAAAGTCAAACATCACTTCCTCTGTTTACAGCAATTACTACAGCGTTTACACTGTTGACATTGGTTGATAGATATCAGATATCATGCACATATGCAAACATCCACTTTGTCGTCAGCTGCCAGTTGCTGGTATAATAGATAGGAGGCTGTGATACAAATGTACAGCAGTCAGCGGGCCGCCGCCACCGGACCCCGCAGCCTCACCTGACACCCATCTTGCAGTCCATGACGCAGGGCAGGTCGAACTCCGCCAGCAGGTCGTCCATCTGGTTGTACTTCTCGCCGTCCTTCTCCACGTCGCCGTGGTAGGCGGGGACGTATGGCTGCAGGACGTCACGCATGAGCCGGTCCAGGCAACGCTGCTCGCTCTCGCAGTGCTTTTTCAAGATACGCCCGTTGGCTCCTGCCTTGAAGCTTCCTGCGCGGACACAGGTCCCACGGCACGTGTCAGGTGGTCCCAAATTGTTAGGGACCAGAGAAAAACACCACCCCAGAACTTGAATTTCTTCACTAAAACAGTGAACATTAAACTATAATCTGTAACTCACGTCATCATTTGAGCAGTAAAAAGAAAACACAAAGGACAGATGCTTTCCGAGCGACTGCTAAAGGCTGATGTACACTTCGGCAGTTCACGCCGTAGCTACGCAAGTGGCCAATGTCGATGCCAACATCTGCACTTGTGTGTTGGTGTGTTGGTGTCGCCTTGCAATCACACGGCCAAAACACTATTTTGAGTGCGGTGGGTTTATGTTTTGCAAAAGCATTTTGACTTTGTTACTGAAAAGACAAACTTAGCAAGCTTTGCAATTTGAACGATTGTTCCTTTTCGACATTATCTAATACACATTTAAAAATCAGTATAAGTTTACCACCTCTGCTTTTGCGTGAGCTCTGCTTGTGTTCCCCGAGCCAGTCATAATCGCTCTCATCCTTGCTATTTAAATCAGTCATAGATGGGTTTGTGCAAAATTTATGTTTGGAACTCTTTTATTGCTGTAAATATCACAATATTTATTGCAAAAAAAAAATCACATCGTGATTATCTAAAATTTTCCAGTATCATGCAGCCCTAGCGTGAATGACTGCGACCATGTTTTTTTTAAACAGCGTGAATGACCATGGCAAAACCAGCAGCGATGCTCCCAACCAGACCAATCACAGTCGTGGTCTTCATCGCCACAATGTGTAGTAACATTTCTGGGAAATCGCGAGTCAGGCTACGCTGCAGGGCGTGCAGCTAAGCCTCAGCTATTGTGTTGATTCGACGCAGCAGTAAATCAGCCTTAGGGAAGCTTCTGTGTGCCAACCATTCAGACACATCACGGTAATAAAATGTAAATTTTGATAACTGAGGTAAGGGAATTACTGCAATTCAGTGCAGGACGGGGGGGGGGATGTTGTACCAATAAATGCATCTCAACGCAATTAGATGCTATGGAGATGGTGGTTCCTGCTAAGTGTATATCTAATAATAATGACTGCGAACATCTATCTGCCCAGACTACAGTCCAGATCTCAGGTCAGTTTAAGGCTGACAGCGACTCCTTTGTCTCCCCTCATAAAACCAGCCGCGTCCGGTCGGGCCTACCTGCATGTCCAGCGAGCTGCACCCAGGGGTACTTCTTCTTGAAGGACATCACGAAGGGCGACCAGTGCACCATATTCTTTATCTTCTTCCAAGATTTATGCTGCGCCGCAGAGAAACAAAGACACGCAGACACGGTGAAGATGCAGTATAGACATGGGAGCGACAGACAAAGACCGCCGTGCGGCTACGGACCTTGAATTAACCCCGACTACTGAACTCAGCCAGGAGTGGAAAGTCAAACACTGTGCCTCTACAATAATTATTACTGTGCTGACAGGACCTTGGTTATCATGTCATAAATATACACTTCCTCCCATGGACGTAGTATTTGGCTTATCAATATCTAAGAGCCAGTTATGATTTTATTAATAGCCTTAAAACCGTCCAACTTGTTGATACGTATGTCGACTTTATTTTGAGCTTCAGTTTGGGCTGTTATCTCCAGCAGTTTAAACACTTTAGCTGTGTAGATACCTTAGAAAGTTATAAGAAGGTACGCAAGGTGCAGTGAGGACAGTGTTTAGTCTGAGTGACGCAGCTAATGCTTATCATTCCAACAGCATGTTGTCTCGTGTGTTTTTGGCAGGGCGTGTTCCGCCCAGTTTCGGTTCAGCAACACGCCAGCATCATATGTTCACCCTCATCCACTCGTGATGTACGATGCTGGTCAGAAGGCCGTAGGACCAGAACGTGCTGTTTCTGCACACTGCACCAGCTGCCCGCAGCTGCCGGTCCCCCGGGCCGAGAGGAACATTCTTCTCACGTTTTAGGAAAGCACGTACAATTTTGCTGTGTGTAACTGACGCAAGGGTAGCTATTTGGGTTCTGCCATTGGTCCCTTGAATTCGGAATGTGAGGGAGGGAGTTCCGGGTTCTGGGCTGCATGGCTCTGGCCTTCTCCAGCTGCCTCCTGATGCGGAGCAGCAGATAAGCCATGAAGCATGTGCGGGACGAAAACTCTAAGACCATAATATCGGGCTTGTTTTTCCTTGAGGAGACCCTTAAACGCAATCCTGTCCTGCTTGGTGAAAGCCTCCCTGGTTTCTCTTTGTCGTCCTGTATAGCTTTTTCAAGCGTTAAGACCAGTCTGGCTCCATGCACGCTGGGAACAGAGCTTGTTTTTCTGTTCCAGTTCAATGCTTCACTCTGAGAAACGTCGACTGTGGCTCTGTTTTGGCTAAAAAAATAAAAAAGAATAAAAAAAAACTGCAGTGAGCGTCTGGCCCCAGCTGCCACTCTTTGCCTCTCTGTTGCTGTTCTGTGCTCCAAGTCCGGTATGGGGTTTCCCCTGGCTACCTTGCAAATGTCCAAACACGGGAAAGCCTTCCTTTGTTTAGGGCCCAGTGTGTGCAGTCCCCACAGGGGAAAAGGGAACCTACGTGTGGGAGTCCAATCATCACCTTCAGCCTCGCCATTTCATCTCCGTGGACGACCTCTGACCTCCGACACCATGTGATCCCGCAATGGAGCAGAGTCGCCTGAGTTTATCTCTACTTGGTGCGCTTATGACACCCAAAGAAACATTGAGGTTTTGTGCTACATAACGTGCCGATTAAAAGATTAACTTCTTTGCGAACTTCTTAGTTATTCAGATGGCATCCAAAGATGTGATTAGGTGGGGAAAAAAAAGACTGTAATCGGTGCTGCATCCACAAAGTCACACTCTGAGAGATCTCTCTCTGTTAAACAGATTTCCTTTAATCTTCTGCACGGGGTACATTACAGCAAGACCTCAGATTCACATAAAAGGCATTAATGGCTGTCTCAGCTCCAGCTCCAAGTTTCCTATCACACGCTCCTTTGTTCTGCTCCAGTGGAGGTGAGCGTGTTCCAGAACCATCTATCCCAGCCTTCTGTGCAGCAGCAGGAGGAGTCTATCTGGGGAAGGCTTGTTTGAAGCAGGCAGGCTACATGGAGGGCGGTGGGGGGGGGGGCTATGCACAGGTAGCCATAATCGCCACTTCTCCTCTCGTTCGCAGCATGGTCAACCCCCCCCCCCCGAACGACCCTCACATGGTGGAAACTCGCTGACCCGTCATTGGTCACTGGGCCGCTCGGGGACTTTGCAGGCGTCACATCAGAGGGTATGTGACAGGATGTTTACGTGTGCGTCCACACGTGTGTGCCCCGTGACCGTACATGGACTGAACGGTCCAGCTAGGAGACTTTTTGTCAGTGACGGCATTGACATTAAATCACCCCATTTACACATTGTCACTTTATTATGTTACCAGGTCAATTAACCCTGTTATTTCAGTCCATTGTAAAATGGCCTGATTGTTGTCCCCTAGGAGCATCCTGTCCTTTATAGTGGAAAATCAGCGGTTTCATTAATGGATGCTCTCTCTACAGCAATGGTTCCCAATCCTGTTCCTGGAGAAGCCCCTGCCAGAATGTTTTCATTCCAACCCACACTGCCTTCAACTTGCAACATTCATTGTCAGCCTATTATGCACCATCTGAGCATGAGTAACGTAAGGATGGAATGAAATCATTTTGGCACGAGGTGCTGCAGGAACAGGATTGGAATCCACTGCTCTATAAGATAAGTACATTGGTAAAGAAGAGTCTGACTGTAGTATGTATTTTATATTATAAGTAAGTTTATTTACTTATCACTTAACAATCCATGGCTGCAACAGAGGTCAATTGATGGTTTAATAGATTAACTAGCATGTTTGGCAAGGTTACTATGAATTATGGGATGTATAGGATTTTAGATGTAGTGCTTTTTAATGGGAAAAATTATTCTTATAACGTTTGTGAATTTAATATATATTAAGTAATGACATTGATTCTGAGTGGTTATTGAGTAATATGTTAAAAATGTATTCATATGAAATGTTACAAAAATATTTCTTAATCCAATGTAATAAGGCATTACTGTTATGCCAAATGGTCGGCTCTGAGGAGAAAAATGCATTGTGTAATTCTTTGAGTTCGTTCTAATGTGTAACTCATGGGAGCAGGTCAAAGTCAGACTGATGTATTTATTTTTTGTTTTTGGCCAAAACTACAATGTCAAAAGTTTTTTTTGTCTTGATTTAATAAATCTGGTGTCATGCCCTCAGATGTTCTCAGAATGTTCTTGGGGGACACTGCAGATTTACAAATTCTGTTGCTTTTGTGCTTTTTTCCATAGTTCATTTACACGACTCTATGAAGCAGTTCACTCCAACTCTGTTGAAGACACTAAGAGGCTATAACAATATAACCTATCAAAACTGCAAATCATCATTCAAATATGCCATAACAAAACCAGAAATAAAATGCAAAATCATTTAATGCATGCAATGCAATAGGTCTCTGACCAAGCCCAAATTTCTATTTACATAAAGGCAAAAAGTCAACCACAAGTCTTTCCGACCTTCCTAAAGTCAAATAAAAAGTGATTTTAAAACCTAATGATTTGCTTAGGAAAATTTTGCCAGTCTGGGACTATGTATCAAAAAAATCATGAACTGAAAGATTGCTAAGTTTCTTTGAAAGCTAAAAGGACTCTTCCCAACCATTCGCGCAAAAAAGTCCATGAAGAACAAAGCAAGCAAGATTTAATGCTGCAATTTCAGTTTAATTGCTACCCTAGAAATGCGGCTTCAATCATTTCCAGGAACTTGGGAAATGCTGCATGCCAGTGGTGGTGAAGTGAATCCTCAGCTGGCCGACATCGTTGTCTATATTAACGACATCAGTGCCACTGGATTCCCTCAAAATGATTTCTCAGCATCCACCCACCCACCTAGGCCTGGACTAGGGAGGGGGGGGGGGGGGGGGTCCTGAGGTGGCTGCACTGTTTCGGAGGACTGGATGTGGAAACCTAACTTAAAAGGAGCATTAACAGAAGATAGGGGGGGGGAGGCTGATCCTCGCAAAAAGTGATATCTAAACAAACGCAAAAGAAGTGGAAGTGGGAAAGAGGCTGTGAGACTGGTTGGAAGGACGTCTCTGGCAGCCATGGAGATCCTTTGCAACCCTCAAACGGCGTCTGTTGACGGCGCACAAAGCACCAGCGACTCGCCGAGTGAGTCAGCATTCAGCAGACACAACATAACACCCAGAAAACACAAATAGGCTCCACCCGAGGAAGGACGATGACACGGAAAGCGGTAATAGGGACACTCGGATGAAGCAGCAGCTTGTTGATATTTACGGTGGCCTAGTGCTACTCGCAGCCATGTCATGAGTGACTCCTAGAAATGGTAACATCCTCGGCTCTAATTACACATTCTTCTCTAGGCACCACTGCCCACACCAGTTATCGGTGGCTTAGACCATCTCGGCAAACGGGACCATCTGGGGCAAGAGACGGGAGGAAAGATGGGAAGGGGTTGGGAAGAGTCCAGAGCAGCGGAGGAGCCATCCGCCCCCCACCCCCACCCGCCCCAGTGAGACTCATTACCTGCAGTGCCCTGAGGAAGAGGAGGAAAGGCCTGGCCATGGCATGCAGCAGAGGAAGGGCGCGGTTCCACAAGCGAGATGCGAAGGATGACATGCCAGATAGGGGAGATAGCTCCGGCCGCGATCCCAAGAAGTCTGCGAGAACGAGCTACTGCGGCAGTGATGGCGATGCGGCTCCGAGTGACATTATTAGCAAAAAAAAAAAAAACATCCAAGCTATGCAAATGTTGCCCGACCTCCTGGACCAACAGCTGGAGCCCTTATCCTGAGGTCCGGCTCCTGCGTTTCAACAAGCTGTCAGGGAGAAAGGGTGGCCCCCATGCAGCCGCAAGGTATGCAAATGGCGGGGGATTGAGGCCCCGTGCACAGCCAGAAGTCCTCAGCAGGCTCAGAGCAGAGAAACAACAGCGCACCTCCAAGAAGAACGTTGGGAGAACACTGCTAATCCCGGGATGTCTAAACCCCAAAATGGTCTTTGTATTCGATGTAAGACACCCAAAAATTTTAAAAGATAACAGAGACAAGGATCGCAAGACACTCAGTCTGTGTAGAAAGAATGTGGGAACTTCCAAAGCGTAGGCCGTGATTACCTCGATTTTGATTAATTTGCCTCACAGAGCTGATAAACGCTGATGAAAGTCGAGCTTGAGAGATCGCCCAAGTGTGTGGTTAACTGCAGCCCCCTCCTGAGATGACAACAGT